TTTTTTTTWATTTTTAMAWCTATTTTTCTCTCCCTATAGTTTTRTTCCATTCTTTTAAAGACTCTTGAGAAATTATTGACATTTTCGAGAATGCTACTGAAACAGAGTTCACTTTTGCAATTCTATTGTCCTTATCAGTTGGTCAACCCAAAAATTTAGCTCTGATAGTACTTCTGTAATCATTTGTCTCGTGGTTTTGAAGTATGGATTCGCGGTTTAGTGGATATTAAATTAAATAACGTTTTCCGATATTAAACTAAGTACAACGTTAAGAAAGATTGGAAAAATGGAAATAAATTCTTTGGTGTATATATTTTGACTCTCGACGATAAGGCCAATAAAAATCCCTGTTCCATGACCCACTGCCCGCTAACTCCCCATTAGCTATATGGTTATTGCATTACTACATACTTATATATTAATAGGTCATTATAAGATAAACGGAAAATTTAATAATACAAGAAAATCAATATTCATTTATGTTCGCAAAATTTTATTATCTCCAGGAACAAAGACATACGAATTTGGTAACTCCACACTACGCATGCGCCCAGCTGTCACAATTCGACAGATCAAGGGAAGCGACGAAATGCGTTGAAAACACAATTCTTTTCGTCCTCAAACCATTTTATCGATGGCGGAAAAGCAGCAAGAGAGCCTAATTCGCCATGAAATCGTTTTAATAAACGGTGTTCATACAAAAATCTCTTGTGCAATTCCAGAAGTTGATAACGACCGATWCTGTGTTGTWGTAATCCCGGGTAATCCCGGCAGCATTGAATTTTATGACATTTTCATCGATACTCTCTTTAAAGAATGTGGAAAGAAGATTCCTATATACGGCGTTGGCCACGCAGGTAAGAAATAGAAAAAAAAATTCAGTTTATTTCAATGAAAATTAGTCGTAATTTAGGAAAAATGTTCGAAATTGTTTTCCACTCGAGCTTCTATTGAAAACGTTCACTMCAACAATATTTTGTCAAATTAWSCTCTTCTGACATAATTACTACAATTTGTAGTCCAATATTTCAAATTGTAAATCTATAAAGTAAATTTTTACACGGCGAATCTGCTGTAGTTCGGTTCCTAGCCGTTTTCAGAATTGTCATATTCAAAATGATWTKCACCTGTGAGTGTTTTCACTCCACTCAAACAAAAACAATTTTTCGTTAAATTATGCATTGTTTTTGTCGTCTTCACCATCTTTGGTCCCCTGGGTTGTTGTGATTATCGCACTAATTCTTTTAATTTTCATTAAGACAATAGCAGTTTGTAACATTACCGAAAAGGGACAGTTTTTCAGTTTTCATTTCTAGTAATACTGTTTTCAAATTAAGATGATTTTGCTTGGGAAATTGCGTATGTAAGCTTAGGTGAAAAACTAATTGCTATAGGTGATTTTTCTGTATAATCATTATTTTTTCTCATAAATTTTTCAGTAAACGAGCATTCTTCATTGAAGATGCCAAAAGAAGTGATTTTATTCTTTTTTATTCGATATAATGTCAAACTCAAAATCATGTCCCTGCGTTCAAAATCATGAAATAGTCAAGGAAAGTCCTTCAGTTGCCAAAATGGCTGGCGCTAATCGTGACATTTGTAGGCCTAGAGCAAAAGGAAACATAAAATACTTAAAATATACCTCTCGGTATAAAAATGCTGAGTACGTAATCGAGTAAAACTGTGTTACTAATTTACGGGGAAATTGTATTGAAAAAATAAGCATACTCAAAAACGTTTTTGCTTCTTATCTAATACATTTTTTCAGTTGCACTTAGGGCTCGATAGCAAGTTCATTATTCTTTTGAATTTGACAAATGAGACCATTCATATCTATGTTTGCACTGCTCACATTCCTACAAATTCAAAAGAATATTTAACACGCTGTCCCCAGGCCTAAGAGCAACTGAAAATGTATAAAGTATATTCCTTTTAACTAGTATTTCAGGGCCGACATTTTTATTTATTTTGAAAAAAATAAATAAAAGAAAAACTAATGAGGGGCGGCCATTTTCTTTTAACAAGAAACAATTTCCCAGATACCCTTTCGACCTTCGCTCCATGCATGCCAACAGCCAATCAGTGCGCGCGATTTCAATATCTCGAACATCATAGTTTTGCTAGTTGTTTTGTTATTTAACTGTAACCAGAAATCATTTGATTCGATTGAAACATAAAAATTCCTGTTTCACCCTTATAGTTACAAATTAGATGTGCTTTGCGCGTCTCGATAGATGTTTACGATGTAAGATGGTAGTCATGGAAAATGATTGAAAACAAAGGAATGGAAACGAGGCTTAAAAGGTCCCTGGGGGAGTTAAGATGGCATTAAGTACTCTAAGGATTCTCCATTCACGACAACTGAATTCAAGAAAATTTCTTGTCTGTAGAAAAAAGGACATTTCCTAGCTTGCTTCTTGTAAAATTCAATAAGAATATGTTTCTATTCCTAAGCTACTTTCGGTTTGTCTCGCAAAGAGCACATATAATAGCTGATTTGCGAATTTCGCTCCAGTTTTCAAACACAAAAAAATCAAGACGAGGCGCTGTGTGTAAAGCTCAGTCAATCGTTAAAAACTATTGTCTTTTCATGAATGACTGAACTTTATGCACGGCAAAATTCTTCTATTTTGAAGCCCAACACATCACTTATTCGTAAATTTCTAGGAAAAAATAAAATGAATAATTGACGTGCTTTCCTGTTCTAGGTCATTGTCAATTAGATGAGTCTGGAATGTTCAGTTGTGGTCGACCAAGAACTGTCGAACACGAGCAACATCACGCAGTAATGCACTTAGAGGACCAAATCTCTCACAAACTCTCATTTATTGCCTATCATTTACCACAAGACTGCAAAGTAATCCTCGTTGGRCACTCAGCTGGCGCATACATAGCCCTGCAGATGATGAARCGYTATCACRATAAGGAYAAATTCATTAAAGGAGTTCTACTTTTTCCCGCCATTGAGCACGTKATGGAGTCGCCCAGYGGTCGACTTTGGTGGGTCGCGTGTTTTTACTTYCAATGGCCRTTCTTGCTYATGACTTTCTTTTTTTCCTTGATGCCGTCTTTCTTTAAGAAGTGGTCCATTGGATGGTGGATGCACTTAAACAAACACAGCTCAAAGGATAGTATT